GATCATTCTCATCATCCTATTCCTTCGAGGTTAGTGGAACAGTTATTATCCTGTTTGCAGATGAGGAAACTGAGACTAAAAGAGGAGACCTGACTTGCCCTAGTTCCAGGCCTGCCTTTAACTTTGGAAGGGCCTGGGACAAGCTAACAAAAGGAGATCCATACACCCTATCACACATACGTAAATCTATGAGTTACCGGACATGGTGCTGCAGGGAGTACTGGCTTCCGGCCTGAAACTCGCACCCCATATTCTTCCCATCTCAGCTCCATCCCATACCACAAAAATGCTCACACCCATGAGGACACCCCAGCCTGCACATTGAAACTCCATCAGACCCCTCACAAAAGCCACCCTGGTGAGTCCTGCAGCCCTGGTCCAGCCTTGGAAGATCAGGCCTCCAAGTGGCAGGACAGTAAGTTCCAGGGTTCCGGGTGCGCAGAGAGTTGGGAACTCCTTGAGGCTTGTGGAAGGGTGAAGCTAGGGCAGGGCCCTTCAAAGCATGGGCAGCAGGCAGGATCCCCAGTCCCCACAGCCAGAAAGTTATGAATTGCAGATGCCAACCCACCTCTCTTTTTCTGAATGCTCTATTGTGATACTAAATTGCACCAATGACCTCAGGTAAGGCATAATATTATCTGATCCACCAACAAAATGACTAACTCACCTCTAAGCTATCATTTAACTTCAATTTAAAGCTAATTTCCCCCTATTTATAATCTACTTATCTGCATATGTTAATAATACTAATCACCATTGAACATCTGGGACATCTGATATGGGCATGCATTGCTGTTTTATTACCATCTGAGCACCAACAGGGTGCTTGGTATAACATGGACGACAGAATGAGACACAAAATTTGCCAATTCATCTGAAATAAACTGTGTCAACCAGCCATCATCCAAGTAAACCATCTCTTGTGCTGTATCATAAAGGCAGGTTTAAAAATGAGAGTTTCTTTGTTCTGTCTCTACAACCATCATATTATCTAGAAAATTCCTAGAGGACACATAGAACATAGGGTTTTAAGTCTAGAAATACATTTTAAGTCCTGGCCTAAATACCATTCTACTTGTAACTTTAAAAGCCTGGGTCTTTCCAACCGTAAAATCTAATACATTCCTAAAGATATCGTGTAAATTAGATGTTTAGAGTCATCTTTAAAATTCAGTTAAAATAATTTTTTTTTAAATTCCCATGAGTCCAACTATGACACAAGATTAGGGATTGATATATCTATATCTATCTCTCTATTTATCTCTCTAACTATAGAGAGAGGATCATTTTGTTCTCACACACACACACACACACACACACACACACAACTCCCATTGAGTGTCTACTTTTCAATCAGTCAATAAATATGTATTATGTGCTGTGTGCCAGGTACTGATCTTGATGCTTGGAATACCAATGGTAAATAAGGCAGACATGGTTTCTTCCCTGGCCTTGTGGGAGCTTGATCCACGTGCCAGCACTTGCTCCATTTACTCACCTCGCCTAGGACAATGGCGAGGGTGAGAGAAAGCACCAGGAAGCTGCCCTGCTCTGCTAAGACAAGTGCTTCCTTTGGTTACCATTTTCTCGGGTGGTTCCAACCCTCTGAAGACAAGCTCTAGAGTGGGCGAGGTTGAATTCCATTACAGACATTCCTCACCTATCTCCC